GGTGCAGCTTATCTAAGTGGTTCTGGCCGGGTCTCTCCGGGGGCTGCAGTTGGAGGGTCAGGTGGGGCTGCTCTCACGGCAAGGCTCGTCAGGGCTGGCCTGCTCACTTGCATGGTTGTTGGTGGCTCTAGATCTGCTTCCAAACCCACTCCTGTGACTCTCTTTCCAGGGCCGCCTCATCTCGTGGCAGCTGGTTTCCCCCAGAGCGAGAGAAAACACCCAAGACGGAAACCACTGTCTTCTTTAAATCTAACTGCAGAAGCGCCATGCCATCACTTCCCCTGTTTTCTGTTTGTTAGAGGCCGAGTAGTAAGTCCTGGCCACACTCGAGGCAAGGAGCTGGTTCTAGGGTCCGAGCGCCAGGAGACAGGATGGCTGGGCGTCTCAGAGGCTGTCTGCGGGGATGGACCACGCCGAGCCTCCTTTGTGTGGGCCGCCGAGTGGGTAGCTTGATGTCCCAAGTCTAGATTTATAATTCTGAGTTGTTATTTTTAATGTTCTCAAATGAAGGCAGTTTTTTCCATTGTTGGAAGCTAGTTCTAGAGCTGTTTCACTGCACTTACCGATTTGAGCATAACGTAGAAGATGTGTATCTCTTCTCGGGCGCCTGGTCTGAACTGTGGGAGCAGTTGTGTAGAACATGCAACCTGTTTTAGTAGTTTTCGAAGTGCTAGCCGAGGGAAGAAAATGGAGTTCCTTCACATTTTTTGTCTCGTAAGACTATGATTGTACGTTATGTTTCGAAAGCTTTACTAGGTGCCTGATAGCTTGTAACAGCGGCTTCTGAGCTGTGATTTGGGCTTCACAGAGACTCCCAAGCACATGGTGTCGCGGAGGAGGTTTTCGTAATCACTCCTTGGTCAGGCGTCGCGTAATACCATCCCCGTTCCCCCAGGGAAGGTTTTGGGCATTTAAGGAATCATTTTTACTCTGAGTAGTCTGCTCTCGTATGGTATCATTGCCTGTTAAATAGGAAAAATTGACTTAGAATTAATTTTTATTAAACTGAAATAAATGTAGGCTTCATTGCATTTCCCTGTCCTTTCTCAAAAACCAAAGCTCCCCTCTTTTTTTTATTTTTAGAAAAGTAGCTTGGCAGAGAAGAAACAGCTCAGGACTGGAGTCAGCACACCTGCGTTTTAGCTTTATCGCTAAATGTGTGTTTGACCTGGGGAAGTTAATTCACCTTTTCTGACTTCCACTTCCCCATAGGAAGGCTTCTTCCAATTTTAAAGTGCTTCCCCGATTTCCTTTCTCCTGTAGGACAGTCTTGGGGGCAACAGCAAGACAGCTATGGTGGCTACGGTGAGCCCGGCGGCTGATAACTATGACGAAACCCTCTCAACCCTGCGGTACGCGGATCGAGCCAAGCACATCGTTAACCATGCCGTGGTGAACGAGGATCCGAACGCGCGGATTATCCGGGATCTCCGTGAAGAAGTTGAGAAACTGCGGGAGCAGCTGACCAAAGCAGAGGTATGATGCGCAGCTGAGCGGTGACTTGGCCATTTGGGAAGAGCTGGTCAAGCCAAACCTTGAATTTTCCTTCCCTTGGCTGTAAGGGATGAGTACTCTACTCAGGATATGTGAATTTCCTATAGGAAGAGAAATTTGAGATGAGTGATCGATACAGAAGGCTGTCATACCTGAAATTCAGAGATTTTTTATAGGTGTTCAGAGGATTGACTAGGAGAGAATAGGGGGAATCGAGAACACGTTTCTTTGCATTTTTGTTCATTTCCATTCAGGTAGGATATGAGAGAAGACGTATAATAGAATAAGGGACAGAAAGGGAGAGACACTGGGAATGAGGTGGATATAAACTAATTTAACTGCAGAAAATGGTGGAGAGTAGGGTTTTTGTTGTATCTCTCATTTATTACCTGGCAGAAGTTGGAATGAGAGTCTTGAGGTCTTCCATGCCTTAATAATCCAGCTTTTCTATGTTGTGGTTAATTATGTTCATAGAGAAAAATATTTCAATCAGAGTACCCATAAATGGGTACTCTTTTGCCTGTCTTCTGTGTATTCTATAATGGATGGTGTGTATGTTTCGCTATGGAATTAGAAAACCTGCACAATTCTAACCTACAGCCAGGTGCTCATCTCTTGTAAAAGTGGATGAAATACCAGATCCAGGATTCCTGCTTTAGTTAGGGTTTCTTTTCCCGCAGTCACCCAGCACTTTGGGGCTTTTCCCTGGGGCT